GCTGTCCCATCAGCTGCATAGAATATATAGTGAAAGCAAAAAATACAACCCGACTTATACTAAATCGATGTGGATTTTTATCGAATATAACAATGGAACAGTGTTTCCAAAACGTACAACTGTCTGTAATATATTTTTTTTTTACTTTTAATTTAAGAGAATTTGAATATTTTATTAATTAATTTCAAATATTTTTATATGAAATGATAATAATACCAAATAATTATTTAATCAATATACTTTTTCATTTCTCTAAACACTGAAACACAGAATTTATAACATTTTACATGAAAGTCTAAACTAATTACCGTTGTCCATCTTAAATGTTGCATTTGTTTCAAAATTACCATTTCCGAAGCTTAATTTTTTTAATTATTTAAGAAAGTTTCAACTTGAATTCTACAATAAATTAAAAATCAATATATATATAAATCAAAGTATAAAAATCCTAATTATTTCTGTAATAAACGTGTACAAAACTATCAATTTAGAATTTATTCAATCATTTTTATAAAGAATAATAAACAAAATTTATTTATTCATTTAACAAAATGTTTTTATAATTAATTTACATTTTTTTTTGTTAAATTTCAATTAAATTTATTATTTTTTTATTAAACCTCTTAACAATTTTTATTTTAAAAATCTTTATAACGTTTGTTAAGTGACATCTATTCATATGTCCATTAAATCTGCAAAGAAAATGCACAGTAACGAAAATAAACGAAAATCATAATAGTTTATAAATACCGGAAATGTTGGTGTTATTTAATTTTTCTTTATTTCTCACACATACATATTTATTTGAAAAGTCATGATATTTAATAACTTACGTAATAAAAAAAATACGATTTTCTCGCCAGTCTATTGATTCAAAGATGGCAGTAGTAGCACACATTTTTTTGTTCAAAGATAATACAGTTGCATATACTGTTTCATTATGTAATTCAACTCTTAGATAATGCAATGCTTGTAATTGGCACGAAATATATCCCGCACTGTTTGAAACCGTACTAATCGAAGATATTTAAACAGTCAGTAATACGGAATTTAACATATATAAAAGTAAAAACCATGATAAAATGTGGTAAGAGAAATATATTTTGATTTTTTTAAATTTCCCTGACTAACGAACAAATTCGACTTACGATCAACCCTTTGCAACGTAAGTTCTGCAGAACACAGAGAATTTTCAATCAGACATAAAAATAAATTAAATGTTAAATTTTCATGAGAATTTAGTAGAAAAATATGGAAAAAAGAATATTTTGTCTAATTTATTGTAATAAGAATTAAATACAAAAACATGAATCACAAATATTGATATACAAAATTTAGTATAAAACAATATAAAACTAACTACTAACTTAGTCCAATCGTTGATTTTTTTTGCTTACAAAATTAAGAATTTGCTTACAAAATCTTCATTGAAAATATAAAAAATCCAATATCTTAGTTCAATAAATTGTCAAGTAATAATAACAAAAATTGTTTATAAAAACATAACTCAACAATATAAATGAAATGCACAAAATATTACACAATTCCTATGCTTAAATCAGTTGGCCAATAAATTGTTAACTTCTTATCACAAGAAATTTTCACGAAAACTTGAATGAAAATCAAATATTTCAATCAATTAAATTGTAATACGATTTTAAAATATAAATTGAATTAACTTGAAAATACAAAATTTAATATCCAAACTGTATAGTTTATATAAGACAATTCCCATGCTTAAATCAAGTGAACAGATGTCAAATAAATTGTCAACTTTAATTTTCCTCCATGCGATAACGATCTTCAGCAAATTGCGCAATAACGCTTCGAGATGTTTCCTAGGGCCTATTGTGTTCCCTCACGATTTAACGCCTCCATCGTGATTGATACTTGCCTGCGCGAAGTCTTAAGCCGCCTAATGAATGAGTCCTGTTGCAAATAATCTATTGCAACAATGTACCTCTTTTCGAGAACCGTCCATAAATCGCGTACACGTTCGTGGTACTACAACTGATGGAGAATAATTAGATCATGAGCCTCTCAACATTGTCTTCACCAACAATGAATAACAATAATTTAACAGGCGGATACAGTTATAATAGTAATAACAATAATGGATAATTTTTTGTATATACGATGATTATTTATAAACTTATACCAAATAACGGAATGCACGTATGTTATGTAAGACATATAATATAAACTTGTAGAAGAGTAAACAAATGTCGATGAATAACGGAAAACAACAAAAAATACATACTTTTATTTTTAAGCAACAATTATTTATTACACAATAAATTTAACTGTTCAGAATTTAAAATAACCAAAATACAATACAAATTTAGTATAATTTAAAAATAATTATCACTAATTAATTTAGAATTATACGCAATGATTCGCATAGTCCTGTTTGAAACCGGACACAAAGAGAAAAGAGATTCAAACCGGACTATATTAAATCCGGACTGATCGAATCCGGACTATGCGAGGTATTTCTGTGCCATGCAGTGTGTAGCTTATGTAGTAATCATTGTGCAAGTAAATTAACGAAATATTAAAACCAAGTCAAGTTTTTCATTTAAGTTTTCAAAAAAAAAGGAAATCCAATCATTATTTCTAAAGTGAGAAATCAATGCAATCACATATTACATAATTTATTGAAACGAAATCTGATAAACAGAAACTACGATTAGGAACTATAATTATCTTCTGTAAATCAAATGAAATTTGCTGCAAAAATAAATGTTTCTATTTAATGATGATACTTTGTGGTTATAATGCATTTCTTGTAATTGATTATGAGCTTATTAGGAATACTCCTTTCGCGCTGTTGCTGCTGCATTTGGAAAGTCCTCTCATCCGTCGATTCTTTATGATAAATCATGTAATTATTATATACTTCAATCTTCGCGTTAAAGTTTTGGTTTTAAATAAAAATAATAATATCATAATTATTTAACAATATGATTTTTGTGTGTATTTTTAAGTTGTTTTTTTTAACAAACCAAATAATAGTATTATTGAGAGAGGTCATCATCATCTTCTAAGAACTTGTTATCGTTGAGGAAGTCAAAAAGTGGTGGGAACAAATGATAATTTCTCAATTACAGTCGGCGTCTTTGGCTTTGCAACATGTGGTTTACCGTTCTCGGCATCATAATGTTACCTATACTCTTCGTAAACTGTACATCAATTTACATAAGGATAGTCATCTAAGGCTTAATATTTATCTTTCTGACAGTTGATAATCATACATAACCTTCAAGGTTCTAATATTTTTTTAATTTAATTTACTTTATAATGAAAATAATTGTCTTTTTACACAATTTTATATAAAATATTGATTTTAAGTAAAAAAGTATAAATGTGTACAACACTATAAATTACTTATACATATGGAAATAACTATAAGTAATGAAATGTTATATATTATATTGGTACACCTGTCATGAATTCATACCCATTAAATTAAATGTCAACGGAATTCGTTAATACCAACTTCGTTATATCAATAGTTAAATATTTAAGTTGGGAGAAATCGCAAGTACTTGCACAAGTTGCCAAATATTATAAAATAATTAAAAGTCTTAGCTTACTTAAAAATATACTTGTACGAGTTGTCTCATTTACTTGTACAAGTTGTCAAACAGAATAATCTTGTTGGTTGTCGAAGAATGTTTGTCTTTTCGAAAGTCGAAAAATGCATGACACTCGAATGCATTTCTTCTAGTCACGATTACCTTCATTATCCACCTACTGATTAATGTATTGGCGACAGTTCAGAGCTGCGGCTAATTAAAACCTATTTTTCGATTGCATCAGTATAAATTTACTTAAGTCAATTACATTCGTTGTAAAGGAATGTGTAAACAATTTGATATTCAAAATTGATAAGAAAAAAATCATTTAGTTTTCCAAAAAAAAAAAAATTCTGTAAAGTTTCTAAACAAAATCAAGAAATAACAAATTTCTTAATTATTGCATAAAGTATAGCTATCAAATACTAAAATTTTTGAAAAATTTTGTGTAGTTTATTGCAAAGTTAATTTTAGTATAGTGTGTATTTTCCTTGCGTTTGTACTTATGTAAAAAATAAATCTGTATTTAGTTAATTTAGTTAGTGTACATGCTATAACTACTTACACGTACTTTGTAGTCACTTTAATTAGGTGGGTACCTAAACTTGTACGAGATGTAGTTTGTTTAAGGAAATACACATGTCACAAGAATAAATACAAGAAACTTTGCAAGTAAATTTATGTGTCATACACATATATGATTTTTTTACAATTATATTCCTTACATGTGACAATTACTTTTACAAGTTGTCACATTAAAAAAAAATGCAAGTAATTTGCTGTCATAATAATTTGGTACAAATTCAATAGTCAAAATTTGTTATATCTTTTCAAGTCACGTTATTCTTTTTGGAATTTTAGAGTTGCGGTTTGAGTTTCAGTAGAATCCGCTTATTTGATTTATTTTCCATATAAATTTAAATACCAAATCAAGGTGTAACACTTTATATTCGAAAAATTTGTCAATAATCCTGTTTTCTTATGCATGCTTAGCTTCAACTATTTTTCGCGAATTTTAAGCTTGCGCTAGATTCGAGCAAATAACCCAAATAGTCTTCCAAATCAATTTGTGGAATAGCAAATAGTTCTTGCAGTGTTTGACGCGGATATTAAGGTTAAGGGTATTCGACTCGCGCCGGACGTTACGCAATCCGATCACGTAACACCCCGTGAAAATGAGCGCTCGCACAGGTGAGCGAGCGGACACGCATCCACCGAGGACCACCCTCAAAATTAAGGTGAGAAGAATAAGGTGTAAGAACAAAGGGATAGAGAGAAAGAAAGAACGGCGCAACCATCTGGCGACTGTTCGCAGCTTCGAATGGAATCTACCTACCTGATCCCAACCTTCCTTTTGCTTTCTACGCTAACCAGCAAAGACCAGAGGATACACAATCCGAGCTACGATCGAAGGCGCGCGAAGCCCACAGTCCACATCGAAACCGCGAAGAGACCGCGTCGCGCGTGTCGTAACATCCATACACACACATACATCCACACAATCCTCATCAATACAGTCAAAAAACAATCCGCGCAGCGCTCAGTCAAATTCGACGTCGAACGGCATGACGGTGGTGCTTACCTCTGAAGAATCGCAGAGCTAAAATTGGAAGTGATCATTCGAACAAAAAAAAAAACAACAAAATAATAGATGTACTATGAGAAAGAAGCGAACGAAGTAAATACACAAGAGAAGAGAAGATCAGCACGCAGACAGAAAAAGAAAATTCGATGATAACGAGTGAACGAAGAACATCGCACACGACTAGTTTCAATTAAGACTGATTAATATTTAAGTTTTATTTTCGGTTGTTCGTTGGTTTTTTTTTACGCAATTATTAATTTTAATCGAAATACTGTGATATTTCCTTTGAAATTATTAAGGATTACTCAAACTCCTTCAGGACGACGCAACAGGAGCTTTAACTTAACTCACAATCTCTTTCTCTATTGGATTCTTTACTATTTATAAACAACACAGGTAAAATATTAGCACAATTTTATTAATTATGATCTAATTACTAAATTTGTATTAACACTTCATCAGTCAATCAACACCAAAAAAAACAAAATATTTACTGATTTGCTTATTGGTAAATACGAAGAAAAATAGAAAATTATGTAAAATTAAGTGAAGAAAATTTTTCAAAAAAAATAATTCAAAGTATTTCCATCAATCAACAAAAATAATTATGAAACTAAATTTATTCAAATTTTCACCTTAATTTTATATTTATATCTATGATGAAGAAAAAATTAAATAAATAAAATTAATGAAAATTAAAGTATTAACATTTTTTTACAAATTTGAATCATGTAATAAAGTAAAATCATAGATTTTTATATGAAAAACATTGCAATATTATATTTGATTTGTTCATTTTTGCAGTATAATTTGTTAGAATCATAATTTCACTGAAATAATGTAAATCTAAAACGTAAATTTCTTACATTTTATAATAAGGAACAAAGCGACATCTGTTATTTGAATATGAAGCTTAATCTATAATCATTACAGACACACTCACTGTATATATCTTTAATCATATTTGTTTTGCACTAAATTATGAAATTATTTTTCTCACAATTCATTTCATTTGTTCAAATTTATGTTCGTTGTTACATACAATAACTAAATAAATATTATTGTAATAACATATAAAATATAAAGAATACATAACGAAGGAAATTACATTTAAATAAACATAATTTCTAACAATAAAAATAATACAAGTAATTTGATACAAATGTTGTTAAATGCGTAGAAAGTGAAACATATAGTAGACCCAAATACAGATCAAATTTTAAAAAAATTCAATTGGTAACTAATCTGAAATTGCCCAAGAAAATTACAATTTTAAACTTAATACATATTTACTAAAAGAAACATGACTAAATGCAGTTGAGAATTTATGAATCCGAGAATCACTTTACATTTTCCACTGAAAACCGTACCCGGTTTTTTTTTCTCCATAATTTTAATATTAATACAACGTCCTTAACCAGAATACACACATTTTTCTCTCTCATTCTCCTTCTGTAATGCTTGCACACACGTACACGAGCCGGTTATGCAAGAACTACACTAAATGGAATTCATTTCGTCATGTATTTTACACAATCTATAATATATTTTTCTTGTGTTCAGAAACACGTATATAATATTTTCTGAGTTTTATCGCCGACAAACATAATTACTTCGCGAACGGTAATTTTCCGTCTCTCATTCTCTATTCATCTATCTCTATCTAATTCTGTATTTAAACGCGCGTTGCGTCATTTCATCGAAAGAGAGAGAGAGAAGAAAAAAAAAAGATGCTGATATTAATATTGAGAATATCCACTTTCGATTTTGAGTTTAAATGTCAAATCTTTCGATCTTCCTACGGCTCATAATAACAAAACTATTAAAAGAGAAAAAATAGTGAAGATTCTCCTTATAAATGTCACATTTTGATGAATTTCAATATGTGAATGTAGCTTCAAAAATGTATCTAAAGTTTTCAATTAATATTAATAGAAAATTAAGAAGTGACTTAATTAAATCGTTAAACTTATCTAAATTACTGAAATTTATGTAGAAAATAAATACATTTTATCAAATCCAATTTACGTTTCCGGTTTCTACAATATTTGTATTAACTTTAATTTTCTACAAAATAAATTCTTATTAAGAAATATTCATTTTCTTATATAAACATGTTTCAAAGGAATCTAATGTACATTTACTAGAAAAATATTTTCATTTTATAGGAATTTGTTATGAACACATTTAGAAGCGTTTCAGTGTTTTAATGCGCATTCATTAGAATTTGAATATTTGAATTTCCACTTTTTTATAAAACAAAATCTTGAAATCTTTTAAAATTCTATTGCTTAATTGAAAATGAATTATCGGACGTATTCAATCTTCGTATCAAATTCTATAGAGATTACCTGAAATGTAAATGTATTAACTTATTGAAAAGATTTCAATTTAGTAATAAAAAAATGTTCAATTTAAATCAATGAAATATCAAATTCTGTAGTAATCACTTGAAAATGTATATTTTTTCAATATTTTCTTAAGTAATCTTATAAAATTATATAGATAAAGTAAAAAATTATTCAAAATCATTGTTAATCACTTCAACTGCAAGCTAAGAAGTTTTATAATTAAACTAAGAAGAAATATTGATCACTTATTTTAATTAGAAATATATAATAATTAGTTAAAACTTTATATTTTAACATAAAATCAGGTTTTTTTCTTTATTTATAGAATGAACTTAGCTTATTGTCTAATAGAAAATGAATGCAAATGTACAATTTCTCTTATGTACACAAAAATTACAAAGAGATTCTTCGTAAGATCTGAAAATAGCGAAAGTTTATAAATCCTCTGGAGAATTCAGAAGGAAACAATACGATTAACGAATAAATTATACATTTTCTTCTTTCCATTGCGTTCTATGAGTAAAATCGAAGAACATAAACGAGCATTAATTTGAAAAGTTACGTGAACGTCGGTAAAACCCATGAAAGTAATCGCGGCAAATTCTCGTGTTCTCGATGTCATTGATTGAGACGCGTTAAACGTCATCGCATTGACACAAATGCGATTTTACAGCCCCGCATAAAATGCAACTGCAGAAACAAGGACGAAACTCAAGAGATACCTGTTGATTGTTTCACTTTTCGAATCGAAGAAACTCTTCGATTCGAAAATAAAAACAATAATAAAGGGATACTCGCATCCTGTCCTTAAGAAGGAAATTGGATCATCATCGAAATGGATCAATTTCCAAGATCACAATCGATTCTCGTTTCCTCGAATGCAAATATCAGCTGTATTTTTTGATGGCAGAAACTGTTAAAACTCGTTTTGCATAAGACATTTAAACCAGTTTTAACCAGCAAACAAAATTTATTGCACCTGCATCGTGTTATTATCATTATTATACTTGATACAACTTCACGTAATATAGAAACGTTTTTTCTTTTCCTATTTTTAATTGAAGTTTTATAAACTTCAGTCCTTCCTGATTTCGATCTAGTCCGTAATTAAAATACAAAACAATTAAGGAAAACACCTGATTCGTATCTGATGAAGGTGGAATTAGGAATACTTAGTTCTTGAAATTGCTTTAATTCAGATTCATCGACGATGAAGATCCGCGCGAAGAGCGGAACCAAAACGGCGGAACGATTCTCGGGGACGTGTAATTATTTGTAATTAAAAAAAAAATATAGTAAAAAATAATAATAGCGTATAATGGATTTGTTTAACACATTATTTTAATGGGCGCATTAATTTACATGTTTCACGCCACAAAATGGCGGTTCCGTCTTCCTGTTTCTTATTTATTCCTCAAACTCTTTGATGCGGCAATAAAACAATGCATGTTTAAATAATCATTGTTTTTACCGAGATCTTCACTCTTTTTTTTACTTTCAATAAGCTTAATTTTACTTTTTTCTTGATTAATCTTCAGTCAATTCATTTCCTCGCGTGAAGATTAGTCAAATCAATTTACATTTAAAACCTAAATATCATAAATTTAGATTTTCAGAAATTAATCAAATTTAATTTCATATTAAAATGTAATTTTCTTTGAAATTTGTAAATTGTAAATACTTTCATAACTGAGTAAGAAAATTAGTTATAGCTAAAAATTTACCAAGAAATAAGACATTATATAAATCCATTTATATTTATGTAAACTATAAAGTATTAATTTCTAGTTGTTTAAAACAACTCAATTATTTACTTTTTTTAAATTTCTGATCAAAAATTATGTTTAGTTTATATAATTTTTTTAATATCTTATAATCAACATTTTTCTTTTGCTAATAATTACAATATTTTTAATAATTTCAACAAAATATGTTTATTCTAATATCAAGAAAACTATTTAAACTATTCAATAATAGAATAACTTTATAAGAAAAAAAAACAACTAATTGGATAAAGACTATATCTTGTTAATAGGAATGCGGTATTTTATTTCCCAGTCGTGGAAAGCCGTAGAAGTTAAGTCCAATAAAATGTATGATGGATGTTTTAATATCTTCTTCAGTACTATTTAATCCTGGAAATATGATGGTAATCTTGTATAACTATATTCGGAGAGGATTAATAAGACTGTGAAGAATTTTTTACTTTTTTTTTAATTTTATTGGAAAAGTAACATGACGAATTTCCATCGTAAATAATAAAACTTTTGCTATAACTCTAAAACAATAAACCGAGCATTAAAACAAGCTCCATTAATTTAATTACACATTAATTCCTCGTAAATTGGTCATTATATAAATTAAACTTGCGTTAAGATTTTAAATATTTGTTAAAATTAAACACTTAACTTCTAAGAAATATAATTAATTGAAATAGTTTTATTTTTACATTGATTTTCTATTTTTTTTTGTAAAAAATAATAGAAAAACTTAATTCCAGCTTACTTTATGCAATATATATTTTCAGAAATTAAAGTTTAATTAAAATTTGTAAAAAAAAAATGTATGAAACAAAATTTTGATTATTATTTTCTTTATTTAAACATTTTTATTTAAAAATTGCCAAGAAGAAATAATTTTCTATGGTTTATTTACAGAATACTTTGTTTAGTTACTTTTACTTACTTTACAATAGATTTTTTTTTTAAATTGTAAAAATGATCTAGACGAAATTATCATAAAATTATGTAAGATTTGCGTGTTTAGTCATAGATTTATTATTACAAATTGATTCTATTTTATAAGAAAATTATTATAATATTAAAGTAAACTTTTTTTGTGGATAAATGAAATAAATCAATTCTAGAAAATTGCTAAATTTTCTATAAATATTTCTAAATAATTCGAACTTGGATCTGTTTGATATCCAGGAATAGTTAAATTTACAGGGAAATATGAAAATAGACGGATAATACTTAAATTTTATATAAATTTGACAGAAACGTGGGAGAGTTTTTTTATTTAGTTATTACAACTTATTTTTTTTAATCATTAATTTCATAAAGTTATTTGAAGTAAACATATTATTTTTAATAAACTCTTCATTTATAAATATGATTTGCGCAAACAAACAAACAAAAAACCTTACATCATTATCGATAAACATCTCAAACTAACCATAACTAGTAAATTCTGTATAAAATGATCATAAAGGAATCTAACTAGCATTCGTTTTCGTAATAATAATAATAAGAAAATGATTTAGATAATAGTTACCTTGTTAGTGGGACGCGGGAATTTATATCCTGTCCATAAACAGCAGAAGTTATGTCCAAGAAAATGTGTGTTTTTTTTTGTTCTCCTATGTCTCGTGGATAACTACGAATAGACGAACATGAATAGTTTCGGCTTTGTGGAAATAACGTCAGTTAATTAGGAGCTATTTTGATAAGGGACGGAGACGGTGGAGATTCGTCTGGCAAAATGCAGAAAATCGTTCGTCAGCGATTTTATGGGCAACAATTAGCGTTTAATGATCGTTGCTGTGCGAGCATCGAAGAATTTCACGATGTCATATCCTCTCTTAACTCAACTCAACCTTGACAATTAATACCGACGAGGATAAACTTCAGCGTTGTTTTCCACTTCTTTAAGGATGCAACCTTCAATTAAACCATTTCATCCAATCAAAAGGAAAAAATAATGAGGATTATCACAATTTTTTCCCTCATTCTCTTTTAATTAAATCCCATCAACTCATGAATAATCTACAATTAACGCAATTCATTTCAAATCGGTGACAACCTTCGAGCTCCTAATTCGCTATAGTTTTCCATTTTCGACACTTTCCGTACGAATAATATTGCCAATAAATAAACTTTCTCTCTTGCAGAATCTTCGCAGCGATGATGTTCTCAAAGAGTTCGTCTTCTACATCTACATCTTCGTCATCTTCCAACGCTATTATGATTTTCACCGTCATCGCCGTATTGGTAAGTTATCTCATTTGCGTTTACGAACAAAAGCTCATACAATGGACGACAACTTTCGGTTTCATTTTCACTTCCATTCAAATGCGATTTGCATCGGAGAAGTTTAATTGCCATGGCAAAACGTTCTTTTCCTTTTCGTTCTCTTGTTAAAATATGCTGGAATGTTGTTAATAAGCTTTTGGATTTCCTCAAGAGAAAAAGAAAGAACGCAACGCAATGCAATGCGGAGGAATGGGAAGGAAAGTGGAGGTGAAGAAAAGCCTGTTTGATATCTACGATTGTTGAATTGCATTGAATTACCACAAACAAGCTAATCAAAGTAAGGAAGTTCAATCAATTTTTTTAAAGATATTTTCGCTTTTCATTCGTTTTTCTTTGTTGCTGTTACTTTATAATTGTAAAATCAATCCAAAATTGTTTGAATCCATAATATGATGAAAATAATTGAAAAACCTTAGAAATTATCGAAATTCGATATTTATATTGAATTTTTTATTAGTTTTAACTAAAATTTGTTTGATCTCAAGAAATATTCAATTTTTTGTGTTCATTATTTTTATGGACTTACGAAAATAGACAGAAATAATATTTATTAATAAATAAATTCTAGAAATTTTCTAAATTTAATACAAATATTTTAATTCAAACTTAGATCTGTTTCAACTCAAGAAATATTCAAATATTTGTATTGAAATATGAAAATAAACTATAAATTCTAATATTCATTAGCACATTGAAATACGTCTTATATTTCCATTGATAATAAATAAATTCTAGAAATTTCCCAAAGTTAATGCAAATTTTTAAATTCAAATTTAGATTTCAAGAAATATTTTTATTAAATTTTCATGAAAGTAAGAAAATAGACGGCAAATTCAAATATTCAGTAGTATATTGAAATATTTCTAGAAATTTTCCAAATTTAATACAAATATTTCAATTTAGATTTGATGACAAAAATATTATTGAATTTTCATTGAAATATGAAATATCTACAAAATATATTAGAAACATGCAATTATAGCACTCATCTGCATATTGAAATTCCAGACTCTCTTTGATTACAACTAAAACCTTCATAAAAATTTCATTAATTGAATCACACAGACGATTCACAAGAAATGTCCCATATAATAAATATGCTAATACTTCAATCGAATTTACTACAACCGCAGCTTTACATTTGCATAAAGAATATCCTGATATTAACCAAGAAAATAAAATTATTATTTCATTATTTTCTTCTAAGGTGCAAAAAAAATGATATTCGCATTAAGAATACTAAAAAACAAAGATTGCAAATGAGACGTGATCAGAATTCCAAGCTGAAACATTAATATTAATTGAGTTTTTGTGCAACCGGAAACGGAAATGAAGTGGTCTAAAGCGAAAACTAATGAACTTCTCTATCCGTTTCTCTCTCTAAGCTCACTTTTATTAATCTAAAGAAGTTTCTAATAAATGAGTTTTATTTCAAATTGTAAAATATTATAAACAAATATTTCTAAGAAAGAGAAGAGAATTAATCCTAGATTAAATCGGATGAGATTTCTAATCAATTGGTTTTATTTCAACTAGAAAAACTTTAAAAGTATTGAATTATTATTACACTTAAAATATTTAATTTATTTATTAATTTACAAGTAAAAGAAGAAACTAAACTTGCTGTTTCTTTTCTTATTATTTAACCTGTAAATGCGTATTATCAAAACGAGAATTCTAAATAAATTTTGTAAATAATTAAAGCAGATTTGAACAGATTTTATAAATCATTTTCCAAATACGCAAAGAAAATCAAACTCGTATTTCTCTTTCCATTCGCAATTATTTATCCTGGAAATGCGATGGTAATCTTATACAACCATATTCGGAAAAGCTGAGGAATTCTCCTTTAGAGTCTCGGATTTATTCTTGGGCCTTTGTCAATTTGCTCCACAATCGTAAATAAAGTAGTCGAAACGCGTAATAAAACTGCTCCATTAATTTAATTACACGTTAATCCTCCTCGAAGTGCTTATTACAGGAATTTAGGTTTTTATCTTAATCATTGATCACGATTTAAAAGATGATTCATCTTGATAGTAAAGTTAAATTCAATTACGCAATTTGATTATCAATTGATGATTTGTAATGTATCATTATGAATGAAGATATGCATTACATTTAATTGATGATTATTTTAACAGTCTTCAGTTTATAGTAGGGAGAGGAGTATTGTAAACCTGCGGAAGTGAGGAGATCTTCGATGATGATTACGTTGGGTGTGATTACGTGCGAACTTTGTATGACCGCACCCGCGCATTAAGTTTACATTAAATTAAGTCGTAATAGTTAGACCCGAAACGTGTAAAACGTCAATGAAACCGTCATTATTTTGACATTAATTCTACACGTTTAACGATTCATTCTAAAAGGGGCGAAATTCTCATCCTAATACTCGTGTAAATATCGATAAATTACAGTTGGAAATGAAAATACTCGTGGATGCATTTTTAAAGATTTTATCTGCACATCTATGTGGATGAAATTGGAGTTTTTTTTTAAGGAAACCTAATGCATGGTAATTTATGCAGATTATACTTGGCTGCACGGAAATCTGATCTATCTACATAGGAGAATCATGGGTTACGCTTCATTAATTAAATCCCGAAGAATACGCACCAGAGAATCCAAATGATTCAATCGAAGGTTCGACATAGATCAATGATTTTGTTCCATCAACCAACAAATACGGACAATTTTTTTTTCATTCACTATTGTTTTTGCGTATAAGAAAACTATAAAATAAATTTTGTATAAAATTTATCGAATTTCATTCATCAAATCAATTGAAATTGGATTTTTTCAAGGTGTCATAAAAGAAGTGTTGCTATTTTATTTCATCGCCATTTTTTTATTAGTTGAGGTTATGTCAATTTTTATTTAATAATTATATAATATTTATTAGCTAATTTAATTCATATTTTCTTCAAATTAAACTACAAGATTTATAATATAAAATTAATTCGAAAAATACATTTTTGAAATATAGGATAAAATAAATCATGCAAAAAAAACACCTCAAGTATTGAAAAACAGAGACCTAAGCAAAATGCGAAACAAAATTAAATAAATGAAAATGTCAAAATTAAGAAATTACGAAAATGACGTTAAAAAATTTAAATATTAATTTCAAAAAAAATTTAAGAAAAATATTGTATTAATACAAAAGTCATTAAAATTGAATAATTTAATATAATTTTAATGATTGATAGAGATTTATTTATATTAATTAATTAAAAAGTTAATTAAAAATAAAATGTTTCTTTTAAAACAGTTTTATAAAAAAAATAATTAAAAATGAAATAGTAACACTTCTTTTATGACACTTTTTATATTTGATCAAGAAACTATTGTTTTTACTCAAAATTCCAGTTTTTTATTATGATTGCTTATTGATATGCACCAAAGACTAAATATTTAATCAAGAATTCTAAGCACGTGTTTCAAAAATTTACAAACATTTCAAACAAAAAAAAATCTATTACACGGTGAATCAGATAATCACCGTAAAATTATTCTTGTCGATGGGATTTCACCAAAAAGTATCCTGAAAACACGTTGCGCATTGTATGAGAGGATACAATTTAATACCTATTGAGAAGAGTATTATATTTCAATGAAAAGAGAAGGAAAGAAAAACCAGGAATAAAAAAAATGGATATTTTTATTTTGCTTTTTAATCAAGAACGCCGTTAGATTCAGATTAATAACGTTGAAAGGAGGAATAGAATTACGCTGTCCGCGGCCCGACTTCGATCCGTCAATTATCCTCCGGTTCTTCCTTTTTTTTCTGCCTCTTCTACGCCTCGCATTGTTGAGTAACTTTGCGTTTATTAAATTAGATTACATTCCGACGCAATTCGAGTCGCTACGTGATTATGCAATTACAGTTTTCGTACACGCCTATGTTCAACTTTTTTTTCTCTCTTATTTGTTTCATCCTTTTTGATTCTAGCTGGTTTTTTTAATGATACTCTTATTTTTTATTTCCTGCTTCGTATTTTTAGGTAATTGTAATATACAAATTTGGTATTTTAATCATTATTTAGTCAATTATTATGTAATACAAAAAAATATGTTATACATAGAAGTAGTATTAAACAAAATTATTAATTTCAATAATTGGTAAAAATTTACTTTGATTAGTCCGGATTCTCTAAAGTCCAGTTAACAAATTTCAAAACAAACTAATTTAAAATTGATCAAAACAAGTTTTTTGAAAAAAATAGCACATAATTTTTATTTATAAATTAATGATCTTTTTTTCCTCTCTTTATATAGTCAAGAGTCTTCTTATATCTACTTAGTTTTTCGATTAGTCCGGTTTATTGGTTTATCCGCACAAAATTAATACTGATTTGTTAAATCTTAATGAGTTAAGCTCATTTTAATAACAAAGCAAAAAAAGTGGGAAATGAATAGTAAAAACCAAATTAATACTAAAATAATATGAGTTAAGCTCATTTTCATAAAAAAATGACAAAGTAAAAAAAAAAGTGGTTTAAGTGGGAAATGAATAGTAAAGACCAAATTAATACTATTTACAAGAAGAACTGGAAGCAATGAATACTAATAACAGATAATACCTATATTTAACATCCGCATTTTATATTTTTTTTTTCAATGCTATATCCTTCAATGACAAAGTAGTAAATTTATTACCGAAATTAATAACTTCATCGTCATCCTTGATTCCGCGACGAATTTAAGTGGACGCTATTAACTCGTAGTCTCCTACATTATTATTACATTTTTTTCATTCTTGTAAGATTCCTCTCGCACTGCAATTAAAGTAAATTGATGTGACCATTTTAATAGAGACGCCATAGAAATTTATTTAATTTTGTTTGTTTTACCTCCATGTCATCAATTTAAAAATACGGATGACCTTTATGTTTATGTTCGGGATTTTTCTGTGATGCAACTCTTCAAAAATCCAAAGCGTAAAAGAGATGATC